GACGGATGTCAGAACTCCGGATTCTTTCTCTCATTTGAGTGAAACGTGATATTCCAAAAAGCATCACAAGTGAATTCTTATGAGAAAATCCCAGAGCAGTTTAGAGTTCAAATGGATATACTTCCATATCTGTGGTCCCTAAAGCAATCTATGTATAAATAGTGACCCTTGCTCTCCCACTCAAGAAACGTGATATTCCAAAAAGCATCACAAGTGAATTCTTATGAGAAAATCCCAGAGCAGTTTAGAGTTCAAATGGATATACTTCCATATCTGTGGTCCCTAAAGCAATCTATGTATAAATAGTGACCCTTGCTCTCCCACTCAAGATCTGACGAATGTGGCTGAAGTAACTGCTTTCAGTCCTGTGGCTGCCAGGATGATGGTGGTGTTGGAACACTAAATGTCTGAAACAACTTATGAACAACTTTGTAAATCACAGCGTTTTAATAAAGTAAAAATTTAAAAAAAAATAGTGACCCTATCTTTAGAGTTTCCTAAAGACAAAATCTGCCCCACTATCTGCTTCTGGTGCTTTCCCCGTGTGGGCAGATATAAGAACCAGTGTGCTTATTGGTGATTCTTTCTTATAGTATTGCCACACATTGTGTAGTACTGTGCCCTGAGTCCAAACATTCAATTCCTTGTCCAGTATTTCCCCCCATTTGCTGAGTTATCTTGCACTTCTGGAATCCGTGTCAAGATATAGAAATCAATAATGCAAGATCTTACTTCTAGGATATCCTGGTGGAGGGGCTACATGGAAGTAGAAGAAAAGACAAAAAGAATTTTACTGGGGCTGGAGCAATAGCACAGCGGGTACCCTACGTGTTTTAGGCTTCACCGGTGAATTGTCCCTTTCCTCCTCCCAGAGAAGCTTATCATACCCTTGCTAACATCCCTAATGCGGTTAAAGTCTATCTTCAACCTTTCCTTTGTGTTGGATATTGACCCTAAGTGCTTTAGGCTTCAGTGAATTACCCCCTTTTTTCTTCCCAGAGAAATTTAACATGCTCTTGCTACCATTCCTAACTTAGTTAAATTTTATCTTTAACCTTTCCCTTGTATTTTACCTCTCATTGTCACAGTTCCCCAAGTCAGTCTTGATTACTTGTAAGCCAAAACTGTCTCGTAATTCTGAACTTATATTTGTACTGCTTTGTATAAGTGCTGTGCATTTGTATTTGCTTTTCTATTTCCCGTATAGCCTTTTCATATTTTACTATAGAGCAATGTTCTTTGGTTAAACACAGAAAGACAATTAATGATATGCTCCTAATATTTGGGAGTCGATTGACTCTGAAATATATCTGCTCCTGGGTATAATGACTTGGTCATAATTACTTGACTCAGGCTTCCGTTGCTGTAGTTCCTAACACCCCAAAAGGGAGGTCCCGCCATGGGACTGGGATGGACCCAGGGTGAGTGGCAAAGCTACGCAGCATCGAAATCGGACATTCTAGAAAGCATAAATGCATGGTCTTGATGCAAACTGTTTCAACTTAAGAGACAGGACGCCAATGAGGAAGGACAAGCTGAACTTGTCTGAGGACTTAGTCTGGGATTTATGGTAAAAGCCTTGCTTGCTTTTAGAGCCCAGAGAACAAGTGTTAAAAACCTTGTTTGCTCTCAGTCCAGAGAACTAAGTGTTGGGATCTTTGTTTCCTACTGGGTTTATCCAAACAACTGCAAGTATTGATAACCTGTACAACTAGAGGGAAAGATAAAAGCAACGTAGATGTCCCTTGGAGACAGAATGTCTTCTTGAGTTGATCTCCCCAAGAGAATTTCCTCTGCCAAATGTTTATCTATGTAAATGATCAATCACATCTATGTCCTTACCTCAACCCCCCTTTTCGGATGTTCTATAAGTATGCTAGCAACTCTGCGTTAAATGGGCCATTTTCACCATCAGACCCTGTCTCCCTGTCTCGCTGTCTCTCAGTTGGGGAGCCCTGGGGAGGGGGAAGTGGGGAGGTAGCTCTGGGTCACAGAAGGCAATTTGCATCACAGCAGCAGCCCCCGCTGCCCAGGTTTACTGTGTGAATTCACAGAGGTAGAAGCACTTAATGCAGATTTTGAGTGGTTGTCCAGAGGAGACTTTGTGACTCCTTCTGTGGATGAAACTTAATTTATGACATCATTTCAAGTATTATTTACCTATGAAAATATGCATCAAATATTATGAAGTAGGATGCAAAATTTCTCATAAATGTCCATTGTAACACATGACATTTCAAAGAACTTCCTCACTCACATAAATTCTATAATTACCGACTCTTCTGAGTCCTTGAATTGTGACGAATCCTCTTTAATCTGTGTTTGGTTTCCAATATTAATACTGGATCTTAATGAAAACAACATCAGTGTGACATCTGAGAAGCATCTGTCTTAGAAAATGCCAAGATTCCTTAGCCTGGCCTTCATCTTTCACGCTGGGTCCCTCTTGCTACCAGCAGCTTCAGCCTACATTATTCTCCTACATACTTTCTGTTCTCCACATAGCCACTATTTACAGCACCCTGAGTGATAAACAGTGTGCCAAGCTGGTTCATGCCTTTGTGATTTTTCTACAAGCTGTTCCCTTTGCCTAGAATGGCCCGGCCCACACATCCATCTGGAAAACTCCTACTCATCCTTCAAGACCCAGTTCAAAGGTCTTCTCTTCTGTGAAGCCTTCCCGGCAGGCACCATGAGAGTGAGTCAGTTCTTCCCATATACCACTCTGTGATGTCTGTGTACTTGGTTTCTGTATTTCACTTTCCTCCCCTGTAATTTAATTATGGGATCTTGAAGGGGAGAGATCCAACCATTATATTTGTAACCTTAACCATAGCATATCATCTGGTATGGTAGATGTGTATAAATATTTTGTGGTTAGGGTGCTTGTCTTGTAGGTGGTCGATGCAGGTTTGGTCCACTGTACCACTTATGGTCTCCTAGCCCCACCTGGAGTGGTCCCTGAGTACAGAGCCAGGAATAAGTCCTGAGTTGCCAGGTTTTCCCCCCTCCCCCTAAAAAAACAACAACAAAAAACTTAGTATAAAAGAGCAAATAAACACAACTTATTCAACTTATTTTGACTTCCCTTCTGTTTTGGAGTCAAGGGGGCATTTTCTCAGAAATGTTAGAAAATGCTAAGAAGATCTCTTATCATAAAGCAGAGAAAACTTCCATTTAACCTCTTTTTGTGCTTTGCTTCTTGGCTAGCCTAGGTAGATCTACTGAGGACTCACCATACTAACTGAGACAGTCGAAGGAAAAGTGGGGAGACAGAGGTGCTGGAGGAGAGAGTCAGGTTCCTTGGAGTCGCAATAGCAACAACAGGGGCTGACATATATCATGTTCCAGGCACTGTTCTGACATGTATAAACAGTGACTCACTGAATCTTCCTAACAACCATTCCAGGTAGCTGCTATTAGTTTCTCAGTTTTAAAAGGAGGAAATGGAGGCACAAAGAAGTTGAATAACTTGCTCACTATAATCATGCTGCTAGTAGGGTTCTGAGTCACAAACTCTAACCTGGGAATCCATCTTTCCAAACACAGCTCCACCATAAAAGATGATAATTTTGGTTAAGAAAATAGGGAACAGAGGTAGAGAGAAGGTGCCCATTCACAGTCTATTACTCCAGTCCCAAGCTCTGGAGTGCCCTCTGGAGCCTAAGGATAGGGTAAAGTTGGTTGACATTACTTTGGACACTGCCTGGACCCACAGGGCTGGTCTCCCTTTGGACAGCCAAGCATTACTTTATTTCTGGTTTGCTGTGTTCAGTAAGCCCTTCCCAGCCTTCACAAGCAGTGAGCTCCCAGCCCTCCTGGGCGGTTGAAGGATCTGTGGGCTCCACCTCCCAGGTGCCTTTCAGCAGCTCCCCAGGCTAGGGAAACCGGTGAGGCCACTTTCCTGGGTGGACAAGTCAGGAATGAAAACCTGCATCCTATCCAGAGCATTTCAAGCAGAGGGCACAATATATGCAAAATACAGGCATCAGAAAAAGCTAGGCATTTACATGGAGCAGATGAGAAGGTGTAGGCGAAGGAATGAAAGGTGACGCAAGTATACTTTTTTCTGGGAAGGATCTTAAGGACAAAGTTTAAAGACAGTTGATTTTCCCCCCCTTCTCTTAGGAGCAGAGGAGAGCCCTTGAAGGCCATGCTATTTCTTAGGATTACTGTTTCACTGCTCAAGAAGCTGTTTTTCCTTTATTTGCAGTTGTTCAATGATTAAGAAACACTGCCATCAAGTGGCTGTCATATGATGCACTCTACAAAGTAAATTAAGTATTTTCTATAGTGTTTCTTAACTCAAGCAACAATAACATCTCTTCATTCAAATGGCTGAATGAAACAGTAACCTTACTCCTAATTGAAAAAAATGGATACTTTATAAAATTTTCAAGGAATCAATGCCAGAATTTTATTTTCTAGTAAATTTTGATGCTGCAAAGGTCCTGCTATTTCTGGCCTGGTTTGGTATCACACTCTGATCATGCAGTTCATTTCCTTCAGCTGTGGCGGAGATACGTGGCAGCTCCTTCAATGCTAGGTCTTTTGTACTCCATCGACCCCGCCTTCCCTCCACTCCCTCCCAGCTGGAAAGATCCAAATTCAAAGATATTCCCACTCTTTTTTTCCCTAGTCGGGTTGATGATCGGCAAGTCACCAACCTCTCTATGCTTCAGTTACTCGATGTGTAAGTGGGAATGACAGAGGATGGCGCAGAGTGGCACACCCCAGCTCCTGCTAAGGGAGACCCCTTCCTCCCTCTCCAATTTCGAGGGCAGATTATTGGTGCGCACGAACATGTTCGCCGGGGAGGTCTGTAATTTCTGAGATTGAGTTGGTCCTCCAGAGAACCGACTACTCTCCCCCGGGGGCTTTGGGGGTTCAGCCCCGGCTCGCCACTGGCCTGCAGACCTTGAGTTCGCGGCGGGCGCGCCCTGGGCTCTGTGGCCTCGGGCTGTAGGTGCGAGGGCGGGCGCGGCACAGGGCGCGGCGCTCGGGCGTTGCGCCCTCGCCGCTCCCTTGCAGCGGGCTGGGGGTGTAAAATTCAATCCCCGTGGGACGTCGCGACTGGCCTCTGCTGCGGCTCCGCGGATTGGCTGCCAGTCCCACTGCGCCCCCGCCCTCCGCACCCCGGCGCCCCAGGTGGCTCAGGCCCCCGGTGGCGATCTGTGTTTACGGAGCGAACCGTCCAAGTGCGGCTCCAGCTCGCCGCGCTCCCCTCCCGGGCCCCCGCCCGCCGAGCCTCTCCGCGCCCGTCCCCTGCCCCCACCGCCCCAGAGGTCGGGTAAGGGGGCGGCGGGAGTGGGGGAGGGGGATTCTCGGTCCGTGGAGAGGCCCCGGGTCTCCCCGAGGCCCAGGGCCCGCTCTCGCCCCCGCCCCCCCGGGCTCAGGGTGACGTGCCCACCCGGGCCAAAAGACCGGGTCTCCGGGATTCCAGGTTCCTAAGCGGTGGCTCCGACATGGCGATTTCACCTCACAGGTGTTCCCTCCCCCAGACGGCGATGACCCCCAAGCCGGCCGGCCCCCCAGATGGGGGCTGGGGCTGGGTGGTGGCGGCCGCAGCCTTCGCGGTGAACGGGCTCTCCTACGGGCTGCTGCGCTCCCTGGGCCTGGTGCTGCCTGACCTCGCCGAGCACTTCGACCGAAGCGCTCAGGACACCGCGTGGGTCAGCGCCCTGGCCCTGGCCGTGCAGCAGGCAGCCAGTGAGGGGGCTTTCGGGGTGGGAGGTGACAACGGGGGTGGACGGGCCCGACGGCGCAGTGGTGGGGGCCCTACGGATGATCGGACAACTGACTGCTGGACCGGGCACTGGTGCTTAGGGGAGGAGCTCTTCGGCCAGGCGCCGTCTCTAGGCTAACAGCCAGCGAGGAGTTGGAGCGATTTGGGGTGGGGGGTGGGGTCCCAGAGCGTGTCTTCTGTTGATTCCGCGCTCCCTTCCAGGTCCAGTGGGCAGCGCCCTGAGCACCCGCTGGGGGGCGCGCCCCGTGGTCATGGTCGGGGGCATACTCACCTCGCTCGGCTTGGTCTTCTCGGCTTTCGCCCGCAGTCTGCTGCATCTCTACCTCGGCCTGGGCCTTCTTGCCGGTGAGGGAGAGTGAGGCTCGGTCCCTAAAGGGACGGCGACGGTGGAGACTGGAGCTGGGTGGGGGCTAGAGGGTAGCGAACGGGGCAGGCAACTCCGGCTGCCGGCCTCAGACAGTCCTATCCCTTCGTCCGCAGGCTCCGGCTGGGCCCTGGTGTTCGCCCCAGCAGTTGGCACCCTCTCCCGTTACTTCTCCCGCCGTCGAGTCTTGGCCGTGGGGCTGGCACTCACGGGCAACGGGGCCTCCTCGCTGCTCCTGGCGCCCAGCTTGCAGCTTCTCCTTGATACTTTTGGCTGGCGGGGAGCCTTGCTCCTCCTTGGCGCCATCACCCTCCACCTCACCCCCTGTGGTGCTCTGCTGCGCCCGCTGTCGCTTCCTGGCGACCCTGCCACCCCACCCCGTGGGCCCCTGGCTGCCCTGGGCCTGGGTCTCTTCACACGACGCGCCTTCTTAGTTTTTGCACTGGGCACTGCCCTGGTGGGGGGCGGGTACTTTGTCCCCTATGTGCACTTGGCCCCTCACGCTTTAGATCTCGGCCTGGGGGGATACGGGGCTGCGCTGGTGGTGGCAGTGGCTGCAGTGGGGGATGCTGGTGCCCGGCTGGTCTGCGGGTGGCTGGCAGACCAAGGCTGGGTGCCCCTCCCGAGACTACTGGCGGTGTTTGGGGCACTGACAGGACTGGGGCTGCTGGCAGTGGGGCTAGTACCTGGGGTGGACAGCGAGGAGAGCTGGGGGGGACCCCTGTTGGCCGCGGCTGGGGCCTATGGATTGAGTGCTGGAAGTTATGCCCCGTTGGTGTTTGGTGTGCTCCCAGGGCTAGTGGGCATCGGAGGTGTTGTCCAGGCCACTGGGCTGGTGATGATGCTGATGAGCCTCGGAGGACTTTTGGGCCCTCCTCTGTCAGGTAAGGAGCTGAGTCAGTGGATCTGCTAGCAGCCATCCTCCCGCTGTTGAACTGGGACCTCAGGCAGCTCAATTCCTTTAACCTTTCCTCTTAGGCTTCCTGCGAGATGAGACCGGAGGCTTCACTGCCTCTTTCCTTGTATGTGGCTCTTTCATCCTCTCTGGCAGCTTGGTCTATATGGGGTTGCCCACTGCACTGCCCTCCTGTCAGCCAACTTCACCTCCAGCGACCCATCCTGCAGAAAGGGGAGAGCTGCTTCCTATTCCTCAGGTTGCCCTGCTCTCCCCAGGGGGCCCTCAGCCCACTATGGACACAACTTGTTAACCACTCCTCTTCCCAATAAAGAATTACTATTTTGTTGTTTGTTTGGGGGCAACACCTGGCTCTGTACTCAGGAATTACTCCTGGAGGTGCTTCAGGGACCAGACAGGATGCTGGGGATTGAACCTGGGTCAGTCACTTGCAAGGCAAGTGCCCTAGCTGCTGTATTATCTTTCCAACCCCCTAATGGTAAACCATTTCTTTTTCTTTTTTCTTCCTTGCTTTTTTGGTCACACCTGGCAATGCTCAGGGATTACTCCTCGCACTGCATTCAGGAATAATTTCTGGGGTGTGCAGGGTACATATGGGATGCCAGGAATCAAATCCAGGTCAGGCGGACACAAGGCAAATGCCCCACCCACTATACTATCTCTCTGGTCCCCCCCAATAAGGAATTTCTGTTCAGTTTTCCTAAAAGCTCCAGTTGTTGACAAATGCAGGATGGACACTGTAACTATCCTACTTAAGATTTCTGAAGGCTGTAGCTAGATGGAGTAGAATCCCACTAAACCCTGGGAGAGGGGAAAAGGCTTTCTGTTCAGCTGTTTGGTTTTTCTAAGCCCAAATTAATGCCATTATGATAGGGGGTCTTTGATATGTTGTATGTCACCTTCAATTTGTTGGGAGGGAGTGTGTGCTCCTGTGTTCTATCTACCCCATCCACTGTTCCATTCAGACCTTCCAGAAGACTCCTTTCTGCAGATCAGTGTCTTTCAACTGGCCTGAAGTAAATGCAAGAATCTAAGATCGAGGCTTCCACACTGAGCTTCTACTCCCCTCCCCAAACTATACCCCCACCAAAGTCACCATAAGTTCTTTTTTTGGGGGGGGGGACTCATCCAGGGATGATCAAGGGTTACTTCTGGCAATACATTCAGAAATCACTCCTGGAGGGTTCAGGGGACCACATGGGATGTCAGGGATCAAACCTGGGTTGGCCGCATGCAAGGAAAACACCCAACCTACTGTACTATCTCAACTGTAGCAGTGTCCTCCTGTTGGTCATCGATTTGCTCAAGTGGGCACCAGTAACGTCTCCATCATGAGACTTGTTACTGTTTTGGGCATATGAATACGCCATGGGGAGCTTAACAGGCTTTGCCGTGTGGGAGAGATACTCTTGGTAGCTTGCCCAGGTTGGCCATGTGCAAGGCAAATGCCTACCCACTGTGCTATCGCTCCAGCTGTACTGTACAACCTCTACAGCCACAATAATTCTACTTTCTGCTCTAAGTCACATAAGACAGTGGAAAACAGGGAAGTCACTGGGCAAATGAGAGGAATGTTGGCCTAGAAAGCAGAGTCCTGGCTTCAAATACTTTGTGTCACCAGAGCTCCTGGATACTTTCCCACGCACTCCCTAGCCACAACTCCAAAATATGGGCTCTAGCATTTTGAGGTTCTCAGTACTGTCCAGTTTTGTTATTCAGCTTGATCTCAACAGGGCATCCCTCTCCCAAAGATCTATCAACAGAGAAGACACTTAGGCAACTCTAGAGAGCACTGTAGAATATGTAGAATAATCTCTTCACCTTTGAATTTTAACCCATCTCCTGAATTCTTCAGGAAGGATGGTGACAGTAAACAGATGAGTCTCAACAATGTACAAGAGTTGGCATACACATCACAGGAAGCCCAGGCCTGCTCTGGGGGACATGGGTTAAGATGTTTAAGGCTCTGTAGTTCCTTGGGCACCAAAATGTGTCAGGACACCTGGTACTGCCAGACTCTGACTTCCCGGGTCTGACTGCCCTTCCTTGGGCAGGGGGGCTTTGGTATCCAATGCATCTGTTACAGGGTCCTGAAGCTTGGAGGTAGCAACTGAGAAGCAGAAGTGGGGCAGGGTGATGAGAACTCCACTCCCCACAAGGAGGAAGGCCCCAGCCACCATGAAAGAAGCTGTGTAGTTTCCTGTCACATCCCGGAGGTAGCCTGGGGCCAAGAGAGAAAAGGGATATACGTGGGGAGATCTATTTCCAGGGACAGATGAATCAAACACATTTGGGGATGCAGGTGCGGAGGAGAGAAAATAATCTGTAACCCATGATCCTGGATAGATCGAAAGGTCCACTGTAGGACTGGTGAGCTGGAGAACTCTGATTTCACAAGAGGCATCTCAAGGCCATCTCAAACACATCCTACCTTTAGAAAAGTTCCACGCCATCCATGAGGATTTGGAAATCCAGATAAAGTCTGATGAACCTATCTTCCTACAATTCTGACCCCCTTTCAACATGTTAATAGTTAACAGGAAAATATTTAAGGGTCTGAAAGTTCTGCCATCTGACGCTGGGAGAACTTTGACACCTAGGCTGGAGTCCAGAGGGAAGGGACAGACACTGTCATATTTGTTGGCTAAACCCAGCTACAGCTTCTGAAAATCCAAGTTGTAGGTACCTGCCAAAGGTTCCACATAAAGCTTAGTCTTTGCACGGACCCTCTGCACATTGGTCTCACTTCAGGGTTACTCTGACTGGCCATGCAGACCCTGTACTATACCATCCCAGAGGCAATATTTACATATTCTAATATACATATGCTAATGAGAATGCTCCCCACCCTGATTAAATGACCTGGCAGACCAGCCCACCTGGAAACCCCATTCCTCTTACCTGACAGAGGAGCCCCTAGCAGCCCCCCGATGCTCTCTACCATCTGCACCAGTCCCAGGCCAAAGTATATCCTTCCAGTCCCCACCAGTTCAGGCAGCATGGAGAGGGCCACTGGGGTCAGGGCCCCTGATGTGAATCCGTAGGCCACCGCCAAAGTCATCAGGGCTGTGAAACTCTGAGCCACAGGGAACAGGGCCATTGATATCCCACAAAGGGTGGTCCAGAACACCGTCAGCCGTGCAACAGGCCCTGGGACTATATCCCCTAGCCACCCAGAAAGCACACGCCCCACAAGGTCAGAAATAGCAGCCACCGAGAGGAAGAAAGCAGCAATAAGTGGGTCCCAATTCTGGTCCTGGAGATGGGCCACCAGGTGAACATAGGGAATGAAATAGCCAGTGTTGATCATGGTGAGAGCAAAAGTATAACGAAGAAAGGGGCCATGGTGAAGTAAGGAGGCAAGCTGGACCCCAGGGCCACCCACAGCAGGATCCTCAGTAAGGTAGAGTGGGCGAAGGAGAGCACCACAGGCAACCACATGTAAGGAAAGGGCAGATACCAGCATCAGGGCCCCTCGCCAGGCATAGTGGCCGAGCAGCCACTGGAAAAAAGGGGCAAAGGCAAAGGAAGAGAGGCCCACTCCAGTAAGTGCCAGCCCTGTGGCCAGAGATCGCCGGCGAGAGAAGTAACGCGACAGGCAGGCTATCGTCGGAGTGAAGCTCAAGGCCCAACCAAAGCCTGTCAAAAAGGAAAAAATGGGGATTGGGGCTCTTAAGAAGTTCAGGGCATCTTGCAATACCAACACTGCACAGCAACAGAAAGTAGTATAAATCTGGGTTATAATCTTAATTTTCACCTTGAATATTTGACCTGACCTCCAATACTTCAATCTCGTAAGCAAAATGGGGACAACATGCCTCATGGGGCTGTGGAAGCTTAAAAGTAAATGTCTATAATATAACACAGAATTCTATGACACCTGGGTTCTACCATTTATGACTGTAATTTTTATTTGCCAAGTTGTGTTACGTTTCTAAGTATTTCTTCAGCTTGTATATTGGATAAGTCTATTTCCGTCAAAGCCAGTTATCTGACTAGATTTACAGAAATTCTTTCATTTACACTCCAGACCAACTAGCCCTGAGCTTGCATATTCTGAATTCATCATCTCTGAATTTCCCAGTTTTTTCACTATTGTTTATCTCTGTAATCATTTCTCGATAATTCCCTTCAAGGCACAGGTGCTAGTCCAATTTTTTTTTCCTGCTTCTCCCTACCCTTCCGAAAGAAGCAGGAAGGCTGTCCAAACCCAAGAGGTTTGACTCTCTTTGCCTAAGGTCTCACCTGAAAGCAAGCCAATACTCAGGTATAGGTGGGTCAAGGAGGTAGCAAAGCTGGCGAGCAGCATCCCCAGGGCAGTCAAGATCCCCCCTGTCATCACCACGGGCCTGGGCCCGAACTTCGTGCTCAGGGCACTACCCACTGGGCCTGGGAAAAGGAAGGACTTCTGCGAGATTTCAGGCTGTCTTTTCCGGCAACCCCTCCCTCCGCCGCCCCCCTCCCGCCCTCGCCTCCCCTCCCCTTCAATGTCCCGCGTTCCTTTTTCCCTTCCGGGGACCCCGGGATGCTGGGCTCGGGCACACCACTCACTCCCGAACTGCTGCACCGCGATTCCTATGGAGGCGATCCACGAGACGCGCACTGCCTGCTCCTCGAACACCGCCACAAATTCCACAAAGAAGACGCCGAAGGAGCGCAGCACCCCGAACACCAGCGCCGACATGAAGAACGCCGAGAGCACCACCATCCACCCCCAGCCCCCGTCGGGGGGCTGGGCCCTCGGCGCCATTCGGCAGGGAAGGGGCTGCGGGCGCGGAGTTCCTGCAGGAGCAGGGCCCAGAAGTCGCACCGCTTCCACCCTCCGCCCTCCGCCCCCGCAGCTGGGCAGCCCGGGGCCGCGCCCGGGGAGAGAGGGAGGAGGGAGGAAGATACCGACGGCGCCCGAAGGCCGCAAGCGATGGATCGCGAGCGGCGCCCGCGCTTTCCCTCAGGCGAGCTGCTGGGGAAGCCCGGCCGGCGGCGGTGCCCGGGGCGTGGCTCCGGCGGTCGGAAGAACGGGCCCGCTCCGGGCGCAACTGAACGCGCCGAGGCCCGAGCTCCGGTCCTCGGATCTAGGGGCGGCGCTGGGTTCGAGCCCCACCTCTGCGGGGCTCCACCCTCCACCGTGGAGGTTCCGTTTCATCACTCCGAGTGTCAGCACCTGGCCGCCGGGCCAGCATCCCAGTGCATCGCTCGCCAATGGGGACCTGCGACTCCTGAGCGGGGGGCGGAGCTGGAGGGCGGGGCGGAGTTTACAGGCCAGTTCCCGACCTAGGGGGAGGTAGGCGCATGCGTTCGGAGAGGGACTTTTATGTTTCAGAGATGGACCGAAATGGACCTCACGTGACAGGGGCTGACCCGTCTCTTGCACGCCGTGCGGTTCAGTGCATTCGGTTTGATCACAAAAGACCTGCATGTAAGGAGTCCGTGAGGGGAGAAGTCGTTTCAGGCGAGGAAAACACACCCTTGCTATGAGGGGTCCAGGAGTTCATAGTCAGATACAGGAAAGTGGAGGGATTATGAGAGATTAAAAAAAAAGGTAGTTGGCTACAGGAGGCCAGTAACATAGCATAATCTAGGTCCCTGGATTCTTGAAGAGTTGAAAGGCCAAGAGGAATGGGTTGTTAAGACTTCTGGCTTTTATTCCGCAATAGGAAAGAGTTCCTGTGCTTCTGTTTCAACTAACAGGAAATCTACAGGTCACAAAGACCAAAAATAACCTGGGAGAGGAAGGGAGGCTGTGAGATCACTCTGGGCTGCACCAGCACTACCTACTCCTTGGGGGGGGGGGGGGGGAGGAGGGCTGCAGTCTTTTCCTTTGTCCTCTCCCCATTTCCTAAAAACGCTTTTTGATCCCATGAGAGAGACTAAAGAAGCAAGTTACTACAGGATCAGCCCCTCCTACCCAACCAGTACTCAAACCCTCTGTTGCTCACTGCATTGTTTGATGACTTCAACCTGTTTTTCACTCTAATTCAACTCCCTCTGAACCCTAACCTTGAATTCTTGGAGGGGGTGGGAGGGAGAGTTCATGGAGATCAATGGGGACAGAAACATATCAGAAGAGGAGGGCAGGTAGGTGTTGGAATATAGCTCCAAATATTTTAGGCTTCATATTGGTCTGCCCTTTCCCCATTGCCACAAGGAACTCAGGTTTATCACAGTGCTCCCTAGGTATTTTCATTCCATTGTGTTTATCTGTAAACCTTCCCTATGCTCTCCTCCCCAACCAGTTAATCAGTTTTTCCCCTAATCAGAATCTGTTAATTATTTGTAAGGTCAGATCCTTCTAGGACACTGAAATTGTATTGTAAGTTAATATTGCCTTTCTCCTCTCCTTATGTCTTTTGAATAGTTTACTTTAAAGCAATGTCCTTTTTGTATTAACAGGAAGACCGTTAATATTATGCTTTGTAATTTAGGATTTAATTGACTCTGAATATTATTTACTCCTGGGCATCTGCTTTCTTGACTTAATCCTCAGTTGCCCTTGGTTCCTAACACCCCAAAAACAGGGTCCCAATGAGGGACTGAATGGACCCAGGGCAAGCGGTGAGCTACCCTGGCATCGAAATGGGCCAGGTCAAAGTGCCACGATTCTTACCTGTAAGTTAAGAGTTTGATCATAGACAAATGCTGTCATGATCCAAAAGTAACGACAAGATTAGGACCCTACTAGGGATAGGAAAGACTATCTGGCCTGAGCACTATAGTCTGAGATTGAGATGGCCCTAGGAGAACAATTCTATAAGTTTAAGGTATTTCTTACTGTATCCATACAAAATGATTTATATTATGTATGCTTATATGTTTGTTGGACAAGAAGAGGAGAAACACACCCAGGGGATTCCGCTCTAGGGTGTGTCTATCTGATAATGAGAATCTGTCCTAGAAGCTTTCCCCAAGGGAAAGAATTCTACCCCTATTGATTGTGACCGCACCTATGTGTAATTGTTACCCCAAGCCCTCATGCTGGGAGATAAAATGAGACTCTAAGAATGAGCAAGAGAAGGCAGAAGAGAGAGATAGGAGTGGATCGAGAGAGGATTGGAATAAACTGCAACTGACATCAACCAGCCTGGTCCTCATTCCTTCCTTCGCCTGCCCAATGCCTTTGACCTCCCTGGGGTGGGGGAAATGGTGTGAGATTACCTCAGGGGATTGACTGCTGCAGCTTTTTTTTTTTTTAAGTTTATACAGGTAGGAAGGATATATAATTTTTTAAAAGCATACCAAGACAATTTTATATGTACGAAATAAAATAAGCATACCCACCAAATTCCTTTTGTGTTTGTTAATGTAAGTGGAGTAAAAACTTTGGCTTTTTTTTTAGCATATGGGGAATATGCTAAAGATAGACATTATTGTAACCTTTTAACAGAGTTCAAACTTTACAATTAAATCACAGTTCAGGTCTTGATTTCACAACTTGTTAAGTTGGTCAAGATCACTTGGTATTTCAAAATTTGGTAGAGTAATATTATTTACCTTAGGGGTGCTCAGGGGAGTTGTTTTAGAAAACCTAAGTGCTGAAATACTTGGTTTAAGGTCTGATTGCTGAAGATAAGTAATATTAGCTAGTTTTCTTTTTTTTTCCTTTTGGGTCACACCCGGTGATGCTCAGGGGTTACTCCTGGCTCCTGCACTCAGGAATTACTCCTGGTGGTGCTTGGGGGACCATATGGGATGCTGGGAATCGAACCTGGGTCAGCCGCGTGCAAGACCCTACCCACTGTGCTATCACTCCAGCCCCAGCTAGTTTTCAACAGTAGGATAAGCTGTAATGGGAATTACGATCAAAGTTTTATTTAGTTTATTTTTTCTTTTATGTTTTTGGGCAGTGCTCAGGACTCACTTCTGGCTCTATGCTCAGGGATCACTCCTGGCAGAGCTTGTGGGGTACTGGGGATCCAACATGGTTGGTTACATGCAAGGAAATGCCCTCTTGCTGTATTATCTCTCCAGCCTGATTTTTTTTTTAAGAAAAAAAAATCTAATCAAGGTCATGGGTTTTTAAAAGATAGAGAAATGAAGTTTCTGTAGAATTTGCAAACTAAATGTTAGAACAACAGAGACCATATTAGTGGATTTATTTCACAAATGAGGAATGTAAATTCAAAATGGAAATAACTTATCAGAATCAGGATATACCCCTGATACTCCTATCCCCCCCCACACACACACCCTTGCTACCCATGCCACATACAGGACAGGAGAAAGGGTGGGAGCGAAGCATTCATTAATACTGGAGAGATTCCAATAAACTGTTTGTAGGGAAGGATTGGACTAGGCATTTTGGCTCTGACCATTCAGCCTTCTCACTAACACTTCCAAGCCCCTACTGTCCTCATAGGACCTAAATGCTATTTCCCTTGGCAAGTAGTAATAGTGGTAGGGAGTGATCTAAGCATTAAGATCACTAGCAGATGCATCCCCCAGCCTCTTGGTATTATTAGTGGCTTCCTGGTTTCTCCCTGCCACTTCCACACCTCAGGCAGGAACTGACTTCAGAACAGCAGGATGCAGGTGGCTCCGGAGAAACTTCATGAAGTCACTGATCCCTACACAATGAGCCGGAAGGCAAGGGCAGGGAAGGGAAGAACAAGAGTCATTTCAAGTAACTAAGGGAATGGAAGAGTGGAATGGGGACAGAATTCAAGCTAGTATCCAGGAGGGAAGAACTCTTTCCCCACTAGGCACCACAGGCCCCAGTTCCCAGATTTTCCCGGTCTAGAACCAAGGACACAGAAAACATAACTGGATGCTTCTTTATTCCAAAAATCTTATCTTACAAGATATAACACCTCTACCCGTTGGTACTCTCCACCTGATCATCAATCTATAAATCAAAATCATGGTTCCTTCTCACGTCTATCTCCTCTGCTTTCCTGTCCTTCAGTTCTGCATTGGAAAATATAGAAAAGAGAGAGAAGGGTAGCTTGAAAGTACTGTTACTTATACATCATTGAGGAAATTCTACCCAACAGCCAAAGTGCTTCTTATCCTCCACCTCATGCTTCATAATCAAATGGCCTCAGGAAAACAGGGGCAGAACTGTAAATCAAAAGTTTGAAAGCATCATCTAATATTTCAGACATTCTGCCCAATTAAGAGATAACCCTATTCCTGTCTACCTATTTGGCCCAGTGACTGTACCACTTATCCTCTTAATCCTACTTGGATACTTGGTCAATCTCAAGAATCTTTTAGCCTTTCAGTCAGTCTTTTAAATCTTCTACCTTCACTGATCCCAACAATATCATAATCATTACCTTAAACTACAGTGAACATAGAATGGAACTCAGTCCCTTTTCTCTCTCTGTGGAAGATTTGAGTGCATTCGCTGTTTCGACACAGAAATGCAGTGATAACTGGGTTACAGACAGAGCTTTTTGTTTTTGTGCCACTCCTGGCCATGATGCTCATGTTTTACTCCTGGACAATGGGGTGCTGGGAATTGAACTCAGTCAGCTGCATGCAAGATTCTCTATCTGTTGTATTATATCTCCAGCCCACAGACCCAGATTTTAACAGTTAAGGACATAGCCATGTATCTGTGGTTTCTAGAGTCAAAGGAGTTCCTAGCATCTGGACACTTTCCAGAAGATGTACAAATACCTACTAAAGGAAAAGAGCTTGTCTCAGGGAGAGGTCATCAAAAGGACTATTCCAATCCACATATTTCTGTAGTAAAGGATGTATCACCACTCAAGATAGAGTTTCATAAATTCTTCCCTAAATCATAACATTCTTGCAGAATCAGAAAAGTTCTGTCATCTCTAACAAGGGATCTCAGGTGTCTCTCCCATGGAGTGCTAAGATTAGTGCTAAGAACAGGTCCCAGTGGGAATATTATGGACTTAACACAGACTCCTGGGTGGGCACTAGAAGGCTAGAGCTACACCCAGGTGACATGAATGGGGAAGTTTACTCTCCTTGCAGAAAAGACCACCTGCCTCCATTTACTCCCTCTCCCCAGCTTCCCCGAGACACTGCTACTCCATTTCTGGCTCACTATAAAGAGTCCTGTGACCCTTGAAGAAAAGTCTAAGTCCAGCGCTACCTGCTAGAGAATCCAGAAGGCCCAGAATGAATCTAGAATGCCCAGAATACCAGAGGGCATTCCTTGACCCACCCCTCCAAATCACACGTTTCCAGAGCTGCTATAAAAATGGTCCCAGACCTAAAATTGGAGGGGCTGGGCACACAGAACCCTTTTCTTCCATTTTAACCAAACCAACAAGAAAACAAAGAGAACAAAGAACAATTCTAAAAGATAAAAATCACAATAATAATAATAATAATAATAAACACTCAAGCCAAAGGGGATAGGCAAGTGCTCATCTCTGCCAGCAGAGCTGTGACCTCATTCTTTGTCAGGTCACCTTTGATCACATGATGGAAGAACTAAGTGGGAAATGCAACGGTGAAAGGCCTTGGTGCCACCCAACAGCCTCAATAAATTATATTTACATATAAAATTAATGATATGAGAAACTGCAGGCAGTAGATTTCCCTTAAAACCAGGTCTGCAGTTTCCCCCCTCTTGGAGCTTTCAGTTTGCTCTCTTTAGAAATTTTGATTGTGGGGAAGAGATTTTGACCAGCAAAACGGAGGCAGATCAAGCCAGGATCTGCCACCCCTGCTCTTCCCAGAAGAAATTAGGATAGTGGCAGTTCATGATTGGGGGCATGGGGGGGGGGGGGAGTGAGGGGCAGAGGGGCTTGTCTTGCATACTCCCATGCTCAAGTCAGAGAGGGGAGCCAAGCTTGAGCTTGCAGGAGGCGAGTGCAGTCTGAACTGCGCTTAGCTAGGGTCCCCCCAGAATGTGGTAGTGCACTTTGGTGTTGGTAGCAGCTCCATGTTTCTGGCGCAGATGCAGCCGCAGTTGACTCTTGTGCCGGAAATGCAGGCCGCAGGGGTCGCACTGTGTGAAGGAGGACAGCCGGTCAGGTCCCTCCACATCCACAAGCTGGTCATCTGTTCAGCTTTCTGCCAGGGAAGCCCTATGATCCTCATGCCCTCCCAAATCATCTAGGATAAGTTCCAGGTGCTCAGTCCTACCATCTTCAGAAAGAATCATCTAGGATAAGTTCCAGGAGCTCAGTCCTACCCATCCGGTCACTCACTTTCCCCGAGGGGAGCCCTTTTAGTCAGTTATTTTTGCTATTTTTAGGGGGCCATAAGTGAGGTGCTCAGGAACTATTTCTTCTTCGGGCATAGGGGTCAGGCGCGGGGGTGTAAGTGGAGGGGGCATCTCAACTCTACATCTATCCATTCCTTCCCTTGGCGTCCGTCCGTTATTTACGGGGACTATTCCAGATGAACCTACTTTTCAAAGATCTACGCAACAGTTTGCCCCTCTCACAGCCCCGCTCCTTGGCTTGGGCCGCCGCCGTCGCCGCTACTCACATGGTAAGGCTTCTCGCCTGTGTGGATGCGAACGTGGCTCTTGAGGGTCTGTAGGTGGCGGAAACGAGTCCCGCAGGTGGGGCAGGGATAGGGCTTTTCTCCAGTGTGGATCAGCACATGCGCACGCAGATGCGCCACCTGGAGGGATGGAGACCCTCAGGCCCCGCCGGCCTCCAGAAGGGGCAGACCACCCTCCCTCCCCCCATCCCCGCAGGCCTGCCCACATGGCCTGTACACCCTCTTGCCAATGTGCCTTTGGATGGACTTTGTACCTACCTGTACAAAGCGCGAGCCGCAGGTCTCACATTTGTAGGGCTTCTCTCCCGAATGGATGCGGCTATGTGTTTTCAGGTTAGCTGGCCGGTTAAAGCGGGCTCCGCAGATGGAGCAGTGGTAGGGTTTTTCCCCTGGGGGCAAGGCAGAGGGTGTGCGTTAGAGCACCTGTGTAAATGAAAGTCAGAGCCATCCCCATCTCCTTGCCTACCTGTGTGCACAGTGCGGTGACTGGCCAGGTTGCCCTTGTAGCGGAAGGAAGACCGGCAGAGCTGGCACTTGTAAGGTTTATCCTTGTCTCCAGGAGTATGGGAATCCAGCTCTGATGAGCACCCTGCCACAGCCTCACACTTCCGGCAGCTGAAAAAGTCGCTTCCTGGGGATGGGTAATAACAACCAGTAAATTCTCAAAAACACATACTAGTAGGTTTTCTTTTGTCTTTTTCAGCTGGTGGAGGATACTTCCAAAATCATGCTTAAGAGGTCCTCCGGGGGGCCACTCCTGGCAATTCTCAGACAACTAGCCTCTGATTCAATGTTAGGGCTTCAGGATGTGAAGATGTTTAGGCTCTACAGTGCCAGGAGCCACTAGGGCCCCCCTTATGGTGCTTGGTAGCCTCCAGGTGCTGGGGATCAAACCGAGCTCAGACACATGCAAGGCATTCACTTTAAGCACCGCCCTTCCCAGTCCCCAAAGGCTTTATTTTCTCAATTTACTGGGTCCATCTGACTTGCTCAAGGTCATGCTGTGTAAGAGGAGAAAACAACATTGCATCTAAATTCTGCTAACCTCTTTAATAGTGGTGGTGGTAAATCAAAGACCCAATGAGGAATGAGTATAAATATTTGTTTCTCTCACTGTTCTTTGTACCACTCTTTGTACCATTTTCTGTACCACTCTGGTGACAATCTGCCTACAAAACCCTGACAAATCTTCGTGTGAGCTGACCTGATCACTCAGCCTGGGTGACCACAAGTCAAAAATTATTAAATCTTGGCCTGATCACTCAGCTCTAGGTGACAGCAGTTTCTAAACTTTTCTGGTCATTTATTGAAATCTCTTCCCCACAATCACAATTTCTAAAGAGAGCAAGCTGGAAGCTCGAAGGTGGGGGGGGGGGGGCGGGGAATGTAGACCTGGTTTTAAGGAAAATCTACCACCTTCATATTAAAAAAAAAACATGAATTTTCATGGTTGGAAGAGATAGTACAGCGGGGAAGGCACCTGCCTTGCTTGCAGTCAACTTGGTTTGATCCCTGGCATTTTATATGATCTTCTGAGCTTGCCAGGAGTGATCGATCCCCAAGCAGATCTGGGTGTGCCCCTGCCACCTCCCAAACAACAACAACAAAATACAAGAAAAAACAAACACAAAAATCCCAAACCCAAAAAATACGCATTTGAGCTGGAGAGATAGTATAGCAGGCAAGGTGCTTCCCTTGCATGCAGATGAGACGGGTTTGATACCTACACCCTATATGATCTCCCTGAGCACTGTCAGGAATGATTCCCGAGTGCAGAATCAGGAAAAAGCACTAAGCACAGCTGGTGTGGCCCAAAAGCAAAAGCGAAAAATACAATTTCAGGTCAGAGAAATAGTATAGGCCCCGAGCACCACCAGAAGTGATCTCTGAGGACTGCCGGGTACAGCCTAAAAACAGTATATATTTGGGGCTGGAGATTGGAGCACATGCTTTGCATGTGGAAGACCTGCGTATGATTCTCAGCACCACACAGTCTCCCCTGACGCCATCAAGATTAGTTCCCAAGCACCAAGAGATGTGAACCAAAGCAAATAACCAAATAAATAAATAAGACATCAATTAAACAAACAAAAAATGGATTCCTGGTTTCTGCATCTAGACATTATAATTTATTAGGCATGACAATGGAGCTTCTAAACATTTACTAGGTGATATGAATTTGTAGTAATGAAGATTTTTTGACCTTGAGCGGCCACAGGGAAAAAGCACAGGATGGAGAAAGAGGAGTCTCTTACCTGGTGGTGGATGAGCCCGCCCCAATGTTGTTTCATTGGTCTCTCGAGTCTGGGTTGTGAAGAGATGAGGGCTACTGGCTGAAGCCCCATATTGGAACTGCAGAGATGCAGCAGTTGGAGAGAGCCTAGGCAGATGACAAAAGCCAGACAAAAGGATTAGCAGAGGACAGTACACCTGGAGAACTTGGGATCCAAAGATCTTAATCACTTAATCACTTAACTTCCCGTTAGTCGTCGATTTGCTCGAGCGGGCGCCAGTAACGTCTCCATTTGGGATCCAAAGATCTATTCTTTGGAAATTACCTAACATTGCCCAGTGCACTAGATTCAATTGTGGGGCCAAAGTTTCACCCTGCCATGTAAACCTGACCTCTGTGGTTAATATGGGTCAGTGTTTCTGACATCCACCCCTCACGCTATCCTCCGGATCACCCAGGCCCAATGTCCTGCCTCTTAGTTGAGGCTAGCCTTTACAAGTCCTTGGAGTTTCAATTTCTGTACCTGCTCGGGGGACCCAGAATGTGTCCTTCTTCGCTGCTGCTGCTGCTGCTGCTGCTGCTGCTGGAAGCCTCATCTCCACTGGGGAGCCTGGCTTGGGAGCAAAGTTGCCCAGAACTCCTCTCCCCTGCCAGGCTCCCTGCTTGGGAGGCCTGAGAGTTTAACACGATGAACTTGTATTTTTTCCAGTTGCAGGCCTTGGGGTCTGGACTGCCTGGGCTGGAGGGGCCCTGGCTGCAGCTGCGAGACTCAGTAGGCGGGTCTGGGTTCCCTTCGGAGCGCCGAGGACTGCCTGGTGGAGGAGCTGTTGGGGCCGTGGGGGGTTCTGCCTCCAGGGGTCGCAGCGAGATGCCCAGAGGTTCATAGCTGGGGAAAGTGTGATGGCTTTGAGTGCTGTATTCTCCTGTGATGTTGCCTTTGACATCTGGGATGCCATGGAGAATACCAATCTGAATCTCTCTCACCTGGCCTGGATGAAGCGATGACATGCTTGTACCACATGCTCCATCTGTAAGTAGGTGGCTGCTGCAAGGACGGCTGGTGCAGTCGCGGGAGAGAGGCGGAGGCGTGAAGTGTACATGAAGTCCAGTAGAGGCGCGAAGCCTCCAGCTTCAGGGCCCCCAGGCAGAGAGAGCACATCCACCCCGACTCCTGCACGGCCTCGGAAAATTGAGTAGAAAAAGCCACTGGAGAGAGGGCAAACAGAGCTTTGTTAGGGCCTGGGGGACTTCCGGAGCAGATGTGCTTTTGAAGAGAGCCGGCTGCAAGCTCAGGTTTCTGGAAGGCTCGCTTCGACTTCCCTCCCAAAGACCTTTCCCATCTAGTCACACACACCCCACCACCCAGTCCCCTCAAACCTGCATGCGATGAGAACGGCCTTGTGAGCTCGAAGAGGCTGTCCGCCAACCAGCAGCGTGACGTCGGTGAGGATCCCGCGCAGACGCAGCTCGTTCAGGTTACCCAGCACGTCGGAGGAGTGGCGGGTGAACTCGCGGACGTAGCCCAGGGCTCCCTCTGCGGCCGTAGTGGAGCCCATGGCGATGCAGACCTGAGGGTGTCAAGGAAAGGGCTTGGCTGCCCTGGCCGTCCCAAAATGCCTTGCCTTCCCAGTCTGCCTCTTCCTCCAGAAGGCCACCTCGCCCATCCCATCCCGTGCATTCTCATTCAAGACCCTGCGTTCTTTCTGTCTTCTAACTCTGTCTTCTAACTCTGTCCTCTCTCTCTCTCTCTCTCTCTCTCTCTCTCTCTCTCTCTCTCTCTCTCTCTCTCAGACACACACACACACACACACACACACACACACACACACACACACACCATCCCATCGCTGGCTTTCCTGTCCTGGATTCCTCTGATTCCAGTGCACCACGATCCAGCTGAAGATTCCCACCCTAAGGCGTGGGTGTGAACGGGGGTGAGCGTGGCCCACGGTGCCCTTAGTTGCTCTGACACCTCGTGCTCCTCCAGCATTCACTCTTACCATTACCTGGCTCTACTACGAGCCGAGTCTCAGGTGTCCGATGAAGACTGGAGACTCCAGCCTACCTACGCTCCACATCTCTCCATGAGGCAAAAAGGGTTCCTGCCCCACCCCCGGAGTTGTACTATTTAGTCTGAACCCCCGGCTTAGCCATCTTCTTCTCCTCGGCCTTCCTCCAGCCACACGCCCTCCACCCTCTGCAGGGAACCTGGCGTCCGACTCGCTCAGCCTCTGGTGCTCACCCCTGTCCCGCAGGGGCTGCTTCTGTTCGCCGCAGGGGCGGGGTCTCGCCGGGCGCAGGGCCCCCGCTCCTTTATCAGGCCGGGCCTGCGGGGGCGGGGGTGGAGGTGGGGTGAACGCCTGGGTCTGCATCCTTCCTTCCTCTCCCGCTCCCCAGATGGCAAGCCCGGGGCGTGGCCTCCGGCTTGAGGGCGGGACAACAGAAGCGGCGGGTGGTCGTAAGTTAGCGGGGTCTCGGCCACTTACAGCAGAACCAGGAGTGGGGTATTGGAATTGGAGAGGTTGCAACGCGCAGGTGCGAAGGATGGGTGACCTGGGTCTTCGGAGACCCTGGATCAGCGAAATGTGGTGCTCGACCTTTGGAGGGGGGCGTTCAGGAGCCTGTAAGAAGAGAGTGAATGCAGCCGAACACACGTTCCAATGCGCCGTATAAAGGGAGAAGAGAAGGGCACCCCACGAGGGAACCCAACAAGTGTGGGGCAGCGAGAGTGCCTGGCTGCACGGGGTCTCGGGTAGACGGTGTGGTGTGTCACCCTCCTCCAACCAGGCCTACACAAAGGGGTCTCTGACTCCGCGGCCAAGGAGGGGGCGGATATGATTTCTAGTTGATTTCCTTCCATTGTCCTGCAACCGGACGGCCCCAGCAGCTGCTTCCCGCCGAGGAGGTGGGGAAAGCCCCTGGTCGCGGGCCCGGAGACGCTCAGGAGACTTTGGCGTCGGACTCGAGCTCCCGCTCGCGCTTCTGAATCCTGTTGGGACTCCAGAGCGATTCCTCGCGCCCCAAACCCGCTCTCCCGCCCGACCAATGCCAGCGTGCAGAGGCCCTGGGAGCCCCCTCGTTGGCTCTTCTCTGAGACTGGCGGGTCGCCCGGCTCCGGCGCGGCAAGAGAAAACCTTGAGCAATGTTAGGCCGCTTCCACGAGAGGGCGGGCGAGCACCGACGTCGACCAGGCAGGCGCTACTCAGACCTGGCAGGCACAGCATTAATTCGGTTTGGACAGTTGAAACCTTTGTTTCTTGTGTCCTTCCGTCTCCTAGGAGGGGGCTAGAGTTGGGCATCAGAAGGCAGAGGGGACTTTCCTCTGCGGCTGGGGTTCCTGCCTGGGGTGAGGAATCCTAGGGCCTTGGGAGCAGGGGAAGTGGGTGGGAACAAGGAGGCAGGTTGAACCCCAGGGACACGGGGCTCTTTCCAAAGTAAATGTGCCACGAGTATCCAGATACTTTTATATTCGTTTTTATACTAATTTTTACGTTTATTGAACCTAGGCTCTCACACATGTGATGCATCGACCATCTACCATTGAGCCACATCCCTAGCCCCTTTCCAGATGTCTTTAAAGTGGATATGAAAATTGTATGGGAAAAAGAAGGAAATCAAAAGCTAAACCAGGGGCCCAGAAAAATAATACAGTAGGTAAGAAGCCTGCTCTGCAAGTAGCTGACCATGGTTTGATCCCCAGCACCCCATATGGTCCCCCAAGGCCTGTGATCCCTGCCCCACCCCCAGGAGTGATCCCTGAGCACTGAGCACTGAGTGATCCCTGAGCACATGAGTAAGCTCTGAGCACTGTTGGGTATTGCCCCCAAAGAAAATGACACCAGTGGAACGGAGACATAGCACAGATGGATATAAAGCTTGCCTTGCACAGGTGAACCCAACTTGATTCCCACACCCCATTTGGTCCCCCAAGCCCTGCCAGGATTGATCCCTGAGCACAGAGCCAGGAGTAAGCCCTGAGTACCGCCAGGTGTGGCCCCAAAACCAAGAGAAAAAAAAGAAAAAGAAAAACCAGGCAAATTCTCCAGGATTAAAAAAAAGTGAGAGGAGGAAATCCTAATTTGAAGTTTCTAATTTGAAAGAGAGGAATTATACCCTTTTTCTTTTTTTTTTTTTGTGAGGAGAGATGTTTGGGAGAGTACAAGTTCATTTGGAAAAGGAAGAGCTAGAACTGGGTGCAACCATCATGCAGGCCCTCTTTCGTTTGGGCTTAGGAGAGACCACAGCTGTTCAGAAAGACTGTTCTCAGTGGAGTTGTATGGGGCCTGGGGCCTTCCCCTTCAGATTTGAGGGTATCTTTATCGGTGCGTAAAAACACTGCTGAGAAACAGGTATCTAGTGTTACGGGGGATTCTGGATGTGAAGTGGAGTTGGAGATAAGGATTGCTTTGATTGCTTACGCATTCAGACATGAGAATTAGACCAGGGAATCAGAATTTCCTGGAATCAGACCCTTTCGGGTGTGGGAATTAGATTAGGGAAGACTAGGGAATCAGAATCCTTTTGGAATCAGAATGGAGCTGTTATGTTATGGTTAATTGTGGAGGTCATGTTTATTATTAGGTGCTGAGACAGTTTGATTGCTCTGGACATTGGGGGGTTGAGGGCCATTCAGATGGAGTGCCAATGGTAAGTTTGAGACCTGGAAGGGATTCCTGCTCTCCCACCTTTTTTGTTTGTTTGTTTGTTTGTTTTTGAGTCACACCTGACCTGAAGGTGCTCAGACTTAATTCTGGCTTTGCACTCAGGGATTAGTCCTGGCGGGCATGATGTAACATATGGGATGCCACGGATTGAACCCAGGTCTTGCCACATGCAAGGCAAGAGCCCTACCTTCTGTAAATCCCCTTGGCCCCTGGAACTGATTTTGAAGCTACATTCATTCTGTGGGTTCTGATACTCAAAGTTTGGAGATAGTATCAATCATTGTCATGCTGGAATATTTGGAGAACCTGCCAGGTATCCCTTATAAGGTGGATGATGGTTTTATTTTGGGGATATATATATATATATATGTATATATGGGCAATTTGACTCCGGGTTATATAGTCATTTTGGTTTGAGGGTACAGTGTGTTTTGGGTGGGTCAAATATGTTTCAAGGCTCAGATTATATTTGGGGATATATGAATTCAATTTGAGTTTTTGTATTTTTAAAAATTGATGAGATGAAACGAGCTGGAGCGATAGCACAGTGGTAGGGCATTTGCCTTGCATGCAGCCAACATGGCCGACCCGAGTTCGATTCCTCCGCCCCTCTTGGAGAGTCCGGCAAGCTACCGAGAGTATCTCGCCAGCACGGCAGAACCTGGCAAGCTACCCGTGATGTATTTGACATGCCAAACACAGTAACAACAAAGTCTCCAATGGAGACATTACTGAGCCCACTCAAGCAAATCGATGGACAACGGGAGGACAGTGACAGTGACAGTGAGATGAAACATAGTAGAAACTAGGAAGCTAGTTTAGGAATTTCTATAACCATGGGTCCTGAAGGGCAAAAAAACACGTTATATTTGAATGTTGTTAAAATTTACTTTGGAGGGGCTGGAGCAATAGCACAGTGGGTAGGGCATTTGCATTCCATATGGTCTCCTGAGCACTGCCAGGGGTGATTCCTGAGTGCAGAGCCAGGAGTAAACCCTTGTCCATCGCTGGGTGTGACCCAAAAAGCAAAAAAAAAAAAATTACTTTGGAGATAATCCTATAAATAGATTGCCAAGAAGTTTGGAGGGGGGAGGGGAGAAATAAGGTGAAGGTCCCCAGAGTAGGAAGACTACTTAAGTTCTGGAATATTCTTTATTCGGGATATTTTGTCACTTTTGGGGAACTTTTGATGAAGTTGAACAGTGGTCAAAAGATGGTATTAATGAAGAGGTATGTTATGCTATTGGTTTGGAACATTCTTTCCTTATAGTGCTCTCTTAGGAATCTCTTTAATGAACCTCCAGTGATTCCAGAACTTGATGGGAGAAATTTGGAAAAGAGAGAGGATATGCTTCCCCCGCGGCGCCTCCCCCCCCCCCCCAATTAAATCCAAGGTAGAAGAGATGTTTTGTTTTATACTCTGAATCCCAATTTCTTACGGGAGCATACCTCATTTTGGGGGGAGGTGGGAAAAGTGAGGTGTCTTTTAGGAAAGTTCCACTTTGACCTGTTGGAACTGTGGTGGAGAGAGGTGCTAGGTGCCAGCTTGTGCTAGGGTGCAAGGAGGTGATTCTCCTATCCTGTTTTTCTAGGATTAGAGCCCCAAACAGAAAGCAGCCGGAGAACTGGGAGTGCGGGTGAGATTCGGGGGAGGGGCTCCCCACCGCAGCGGGGGCTAGGGAATAAGGCTGGCAAGCTCAGCACGCCTGGGTCCCTGCTCTCTCCGGCTCTCCTCCCCTCTCTCCCTCCCACCGCCCACCCCCCACCCCCAGGAAAAAAACCTGCCTGTGCAACAGCGATGGCAGATTCCAGTCCTCCAGGCTTTCCTAAACCACCACGGAGCCCGGGGGCGGGAGGGGGGGAGGGGACGCACGAGCGGGCTTTCCTGTTTCCCTAACACAGGGGCTATGAGTTTGACCTCCTGGCCCCCCAGCCCTTCGTGGTGTGCCCCCCAGGTCTGGAAGCCAGGTGTCCTGGACCCTAGCCCCCGATCGGGGGTGGGGAGACTGGGGAGACCGGGAGGAGGAAGGAGGGAGTGACTTCCAAAATTGGCATCGGGACAGAGCAGGGCTGGCGGGAGGCAGGCAAAAGGCAGAATTTTCCTGAAAAAACGGGGCTATCTGAGGACCCCAAATTTGGGGAGCTAGTGCAGGACTGTTCTGCCAACATCCTAGATTTTTTTGGGATTTTTTGGGGGCCCCGGGAACCCTCTAGATGGGGTGAGGAATGTAATGTTGGGGGAATCTGACTGGGGCATTGCAGCTGCCTCTCCCGCCGAGTTGGAGACGGATGGGCTGGGACGAGTTTTGGGGGGTGTCCCCAATTTTAACTGGGAGTCGAGGAACCCCTCCTGAGCTCTCTTGTAGGGGTCCCCCCTCCTAAGGGCACTCCCCACTCCCTGAGCCAGCCAAGAGGAAGGAGGCCAGCGATGCGACTGGGGAGGCTCCTTTCTGCTGCACCCCAAATGTGAGGGATGCACCCCAAATTTTTGCTCCTTTCAAAATAGGGGACCAGGATCTCAGGGGAGAGTAGCTGAGGTAAGTGGGGAGGAAAGTGTCCCCTGTTTTCAGGAGAGACATGGCGGTTGCGGGGAGGTTTCGGAGGTGCTTGCTGGGGTGGGGTTGGGCTTTGTCAAGTCTTGAAAGTGGGGGGATGATTGGCGAGACTTTTTCTTATACTTCTAAACTGTAGCCCCCCAGATGGAAACCAAAGGCTGAGTCCAGACGGCCTCCCAGCATCCCCAGCCGTTCCTATAGTTGTTTGATTTCTGTTTCACCCCCACAAAGGCTCTGCCGAGGGTGGGAGCGAGAAGCAGCTGTTCATTTGGGGGGTTTGGAGGTTCCAGTGAGGGGCAGGAGGGCTCAGCAGAGTTCGATGGAGGGAAGATAGGGGTCTTGAGGAAGGGGAGTCTGGCACTCCAAGGGCCTGTAAGATGCTTACACCCATCATCTTTTTGATCATAAAGTTTTGGGGGGTGTGTCAGAAGAGGGAGTAGTAAAGGTGGGAGGCTAACTCTTGGGTTTTAGAGAATATTATTTTGATTTATGAAAGATTTTGGCCCTTGGAGTTTTGCTTTGTGGTGGGTGTATTTAAAAAAATTGAGCCCTGGACTAAAGGAAAAGGCTGAGGGAAGGCCTAGGGTGGGGGTGGGGAGAGGCATGTTTGTCTCTGCTTCAACGTGGCTCTCTGGGCTGGGCCCGCCTTTCTGGGCATGGTGGATGAACTGATGGCGGGTGTTAAAGGGGGTGGGACTTGGGTCCTGGGGACCGTATGGAGGGAGAAGGGTGCTGGTGATTAAATACCAGTTCCCAAGCTTCGGGTGGTCTTCTTCTGGGGCCCTGCTCCACCCCTTTCCCTCTGGCCTCCATTTCCTTCTTTTTGGCCTCCATCTTGTGGCAGGCCCAAACCCCAGGCAACTTCCGGCCCCCCTCTCCCAGCCATGATCCAGCCCCACCACCTCTGGACTGCCAACTCCCAACCCTGCTGTCCTTGGCCTTCCGTCTCTCTTGGCTTTCTTGTTTCTCACCCAGGGCGGGGAGAAACGAATACTGGAGAGGCTGAAAGTCCTTGCTCTTGCTGAGTCAGGAGGCTATGTTGGTAACCCACAACCACCCCTATTCCCTCTGCCTCTCTTCCCCCAACCCCCCACCCCCCGCCTAGGGATTCCAAGTGGGTTCCAAGAGAGAAGATGTTTCTAGTCTTATGCTGAAAGCTCACCCCTCTGGCTTCTCTTGCCTCCTCAGTCCCTAGCCCTGGGTTCTTTTCCCCAACCCTTCTTGGGGCCATGCTCGGCCTTTTATTGTTCCCCATCTCCCTGCTCTTGGTAGTGGTGGTCTTTATGGCACTCTCTCGTGCTCCCTTCCAGTCCTGCCCCCGCTCCAGCAGCACACTGTGGTTTGTACGGCACTGTGGCCACGTCCAAACCACACTGTGGTGTTAGAGCGAGGGTGGGGGAGGCACCGCTGAGGCTTGAAACTGGGAGTCCACCCTGGAGAAGTGACACACAAAAAATTAAAACGTGGTGCTTTTTGACAATTTTTTTTTGAGAGGCAAGGGAGGAGGAAGAGGGTAAACTGTGAACAAACTGGGAACACTCTCCCTAAAACCCCCAGAGTATCCTCAGGAACATCGGGTGTCAGAGACCCTGGGGACAAACTCTGCTTACAGAAAGCTAAGTTGACCACAACCACCCTTGGCTCTAGCAGCACAGAAATATTGGCACTGGGAAGAATCTGCCAATATTAGCTGTGCTGCTCCAGGCAGGGTGGTGAGAGCGGCTAAGGTAAGACTGAGCGCCAGAGGCTAAGAAGGAGACAATCTCTCCAGGTCCTTGAATAATGCTAGGTAGGCTGAACGCACCAAGCAGGGAGGGAAATCTTTTATTGTTTTCTTTATAAAAATATCCAACGACGGAGGTCAAAGGGGTCAGCGGGCTGAAAAGCAGGGTAGATAGACCCAGAAGTCTTTTGACTTTCTTTCATGCAGGCCTTGGTCAGAGTCCCAGGCGATCCACAGGTCCGGGTGAACAGTGACAGGGGTCAGAAATGGATGGTTCAGCAAGAAAGTAGAACAGGATCAGTGGAGGTCGTGAGAAGACCAGAACCCAAAGTCAGGCTGTCTGGAACAGGAAGTAAAATGGGTGGAGATGGAAGGTGCTCCAAGCATGCACCCCAAAGTCCTTGGCTCCCTACTGACCTAACCCCTCTCCAGAACATCCCCACCGCAATCACTGTGTACGGGAATCACCTTCGCTTCCAAAACACTGTAGGAGAGAGGAGGTCCCTGCTGAGACCCACCCATCCAAGTGAGTACTTTCTCCCCCACCCTGTCAGTCGGTGTGGGAGGAGGGGGACTCCTACCCTGGTCGAAGTTGAGTTTCTTGGCTGGAGGAGTTTCTCCAAGCCCTTCAATATCCACCAGGTCACTGTTGCCGTCGGAGTCGTTCAGGGCACTCACTGTCACATCTGGGAGGGGGGCATAAGCTAGATTCTAGGTTTCCTGACTGTTCCCGAGACTCCCAAAACTGAGCTCTCCTCTCTCCCACCACAACCCATTCCTGTCTAGGAACCTTCTCTAGGAGAGGAAGAGAGTTGTCCTTCTTGGACCCAAGCCCAGTTGTCTTATTGCACCTCAGATGGTATTTTAACCCTGTAGGCAGTATCTCCACAGCCCTCACCAGCCTTCTGTTTCTTTATGGGAGGACCCCCGGCATCAGGGACACCGGAGCTGCTGGGTGGAGGGGCAGCTGGAGGAGGTGACAAGACACCAGATGCCACCTTCTTGGGCCCTTTCTTGGGTGACTCGGCTGGAAGTGGGATGCCAGAATCTTCATACACCTTTCTCTTCACAGTGGCCTTTATCTGAGCCCTGAGAAGAACAGAGAGTAGTTTAGGAAAGAAGCCACCAAGGAGGCTGAGGGAAGAAGGGAGGAGGGGGCAGGGGAAATGGGTTGCTTTAAAGGAATACTGGGGACTCCTTCCAAAGAATCTAGGGAGGGGTCCGGATCTTTCGATAGGGTTCTCTTTCCCCCCTGAATCTCTTCAACGTCTTAGGATGGAAAGTGAAGAGAGGAGTCCCTGGACTGAATAATGGAAAAGGCCCATGTCTTTAGTCTCTTCTGGGAGGGATGTATGAGTACAGAAGGATACTAGCTAAGTCTTGGTGATCTCCTGGCACACTGAAATTCCATTTTCAGTATTCTGATCAACTCAGAACCATAATAAATATCTCTGGAAACATTGTAGTGGTATCTCAAAGGCCTATATAATTAGAGAAATAACGTCCATCATCAAATACAATGTTTAGATACTTAACATTCTTGAAAGATCCTGATTACAACAGCATTTTATTAACTTCTGATGAATGATGACAATTATATTTTTTTTCCAGCCCTTAAGGGGAGCAAGAAAATAGGAAAGATATTAAGCTGGAAAGCAGTTCTGAAGAAGGTGGAACAACCGGGATGGAGGAAGAAAGCTGCCCACCCCCCTTTCTCTGACAGTCAACCCTCCCTCACACTGTCCGTTCCTTGATGACACAGCTGATGTGATTAAGATCGTCCCCAAATCGCTTCACAGCAGCCCTCAGCATCTCTATCTCCGTTTCCGTCCACTTGGCACTGTCAGAGGGGAAAGGGGAAAAGGAAAGAGGGAGGAAGAGGGGTGTGGAGCCAGCTCCAGGGCTATGCTGTCCACAGCAACCGCCTCCTCCCGCTAGTCTTTGGGAGTCCCTTCCATGGAGGCCCTCTTAAAAGAAAAAAAAATCTCTTAAGTCCCATGGAAACCCCAGGAGCCCTCCACCCCCAGTCCAAAAGCTGCCACCTTAGAACACCTCCCCAGACTACGAGGAGCTGCTGCTGCAAGCAGTTCGCTGAAACCAATGAATAAGAACAGGTCTTACAAATAGAAGCCCTGAACTTAGTCGGCAGCGATCTATGGGGATTCCACATGATTTGGGGTCGTATAGTGGTTTGGTAGTGTTGGTGGTCTCTGGTCTCCCGGTTCGCAGCGGAGCAGAGCTGTGAAATGAGTCCAGGTTGTGAGCCTTAGCATGTGTCTCATGGGTCATTCGATATTTCTTAGCATCTATGGAGCACCGTGCCAAGCACAAGAGGAAACGAACATGTGTCCCTGCTCTACACTGTGTCAGTGTCTGCGGTCGAGGCCAAGTGTCCGCTCCCGGCGCCGACGTGCCAGCCCGGGCTCACATACCCCGCGGGGGAAGAATCTGCCACGGGATGCAGCTGCATGGTCAGCTCCCCGAGCTTCGTGAAGGCGGCGCCCGCCGCAGAGAAGATCTCTCCGACCTGGGGGCGGGGCAGCGTTAGGGGGCAGCGGAGCGCGACGCCGGCGCCGGCCGGCCCGAGCCCCTAGCCCCACCCAGGCTCCCTTCCCGCCCGCCCGAGCCCGGGGCGGGAGAGTCGGCGGCCAAGCTGGGGGAGCCCTCCCGTGGCCGCCAGGGAGCGCTGTCCGCAAGGGATGCCGAACCTTTGTGGACGCTGACGTCATGTCCCCGCGCGCCGCCTCACGGAGAGGCCGCCGCCGCCGCCGCCGCGAGAGCCCGGACCCCGGAGACACCGGCCGCCGGACCGCTCCAGCGCCCGCGCAGGAAGTCCCGCCTTCTCCGCATCCGATTGGCTCAAATGCGGCCGGCCGCGGCGGCCGTTTCGGCCGTCTCCGCGCACCCAGGGAAGCGGGCGGAAGAACCCGCCCCACTTCCGGCCGGCTTCACTTCACTTCCGCCCGGGGTCAAGCCTCCCTCTTCGGAGGCGGGCCCTGGACCTCGGTGCCCCGGCGCCCCGCTCCCGCCGCGCACAGACACGAGGCTTGAGAGCAGTTTCTCTTTATTGTGGTATGGGGCGAGTGAGGGCCTCTGGGCATCGGAGCCGACCAGCGCCAGCTTCCTTTCCCTGGGCGGGCGCTAGAGACGGGAGAACAGGGTTTTTAATCACTCCCAGTCAGGCAGGCGGGGGCGTGGGCTGCGGAGTGAGGAGTCATTAAATACGGCAGGAGGGGGTGGATGCTGGGGAGGGAAACTGCGACGGTCTGTCTAGCGCACCATGTACTCCTTGCGCTTATTGAGTCGGATTTGGCAGAAGGAGAAGCCTCCGAGGAGGAAGTAAAGGCCCGCTGCGATGAAACAGTTGTAGCTCACTTGCTCATAAAGGCTGTATATATTCTGGGGACCATTCCTGGAGATGGAGACCAGGCAGAGAAATGTGAGAAACATAATCACTGTTTACTGAGCACTTACTATGTGCCAAGAACCTCTACAAGCGAGTTTATGTATGGTCAACCTTCATAGTCCCCGTAGGGTGAGAGGTCTTCGCATGGATTTTGCAGAAGGGGGTGAGTGTATGACGGGTACTAGGCTTTAATTCCAAGAACACCCTGTCCAAACTGGGAGATTGGGCACGTACCCACACTCAGCAACTCCCGGTTCCAAATTCACCTGCCCCCTCCCCCGCCCCCAACATTCCCCCCTCACGTAATACGTACTCAAAGTCTTTCTCCGTGGAAGGCACGTCCTCAATGAGTACAGCGGAATGGACGTTGAAAAAGATTCCAAGCATTATCTGGAAAAGGGGAAATGGACCGGTTGAATTCTGCTCGACCCAGTCGGTGTCTAAATTCCTCCCACTTTCAATGTTGCCACAACGTTGGGAATTACAAGAATGAGCTGGTGACATAGAAACGACCTGATCGGGGCATGGGCAGGGCTAAAGAGGAACCGAGGTACTCAGATTTTCTTCCTTGTCCCTTTCCATCGGCGTCACGATCACGGGGCAAGGGGGTGGGGTGGGGGGACCGGCACTTCGTATTTCTTCCTAGAACGGTAGAGGTTAGGGTCCTGGGAAACAAGGGCCCTCCACTACCCACACCGGGGATAAGAGCTTCCTTTCTCCACTGCCCTTCATACAGTTCAAGCATCTCAAGGGCTTGGGTCGTCTTCATTTTACCTCTGGGAGAGGGGTCTCCGTAAGTCCTATTCCCCTCCAGGACTCAATGCGCCTTCCCCCTCCACCGGGTCCCAGTCCCCCAGTTTTCAGTGCCTGGTCTGTTTCCTCCGGCGGCTAACCGACCCCGCGCCAAGCTGCCTGCTTCTACGGCTTGGAGCCTCCCAGCTCTGCAGCCCCACCACCCCAGAATCCCTGACCCCTTTTGGGGTTCTCGTCGGGCAGCCCCCTCACCAACATGATCACTCCCCAGGCGCTGAGCACGATGCCGCAGGCGGCCAGTTTAGGCCCACAGCATAGAAGCGATGCCATGACGATGTCGGGGGTCGCCCAGGTGCCGGTGAAATGAACAAACGGTGAGTGGACCGACCGAGGCTGCACTAGCAGGCAGGAGGGCGAGTGGGTTCGCGCGGCGGAAGACGGAGCGCGGAGGGGTCGGGGGGCGTGGCCGTGGGGCCGAACCGTGGGGCGGGGTACGCCGCGAGGAGAACGCTGTGCGCCTCCGGCTCCTCTCAGGACTTGGGTGGGAAGAGGCGTGGTCCGAGACACAAAAAGTGACTAGAATACACTGTCGATATATGTATCTGGGTAACAGGGGCAAGGGCCTGCAGCTGCTTGTCCCGTGTCCCCCTCCACCCCCCCAGCTGGAAGTGGAAGAAGTCCGGCGGCCACGTGACCGACTTGATCAGTCACGTGATCAGGACCGGCCGTAACGAGCCAGGAAAAGTACCTCTGGCGGAGTTGCTGGTAACCTTGGCGCTGGGGCTTGGGAGCACAGAATGAAAACCTGATTTTTCTCTTTCGATACCTTATTTTCAGGCGGTATCATGTGGTGAGGGAACCGTGAGTGAGGGACATTAAGAGAATATCTTAATCTCCTCAGCTGCCCACCCCCCTTTTTTTTTTTGGTTGTTGTTGCATGGATTGAACCCATCCCCTTTACATACAGTTTGTATTTTAAAAACGTAATAAAAATTATGTATTTATTTGGTATTGCGGTGGATTGGGCTTAGAGCTGCACAGATGCAAGGCAAGTGCTACTGCTGAGCTTTATCTCTGATCCTTCACCCTACTCTTTTTGGGCCACACGATGGAATCACTCCTGGCGGTGCTCGTGGGACCAAATGGGTGCTGGTGATCGAACCCGGGTTGACTGTGTGCAAGGCACCTAATCGGTACTTTTAAAGTTTGGTAATCTCATACCGTGAAGGGATATTGGAGGCCCATACCAAGGATAGTCGTTCTGTTGTGACTAGAACGCTTAAAAATTACCGTAAGATGTGGATGTTGGAATTTTTTTTTTCTTTTTGGGTCACACCTGGCGATGCTCAGGGGTTAATCCTGGCTCATACACTCAGGAATTATTCCTGGCGGTGCTCTGGGGACTCTATGGGATGCTGAGAATTGACCCGGTCAACTGCGTGCAAGGCAAATGCCCTACCCACTGTGCTGTTGCTCCAGCCCCCAAGAAATTCTTGAGTAACATTTTGTAGTAATAGTTTTGGACGTGAAATCCTGGAAAAATATGAGGAGTTAAAAAATATATAGTGAGGCTGGAGAGATAGTAAAGTGGATAAGGTTCTTGCCTAGCACCTAGCACCAGGTTCTCCCCAACCTGGGTTTGATCATCAGTGTTCTTTTTTTTTTTTTTTTTGCTTTTTGGGTCACACCTGGCAGTGCTCAGGGGTTATTCCTGGCTTTGCACTCAGGAACCACTCCTGGCGGTGCCCCGGGGGCCATATGGGATGCTGGAAATTGAACCCGGGTCAGCCGCATGCAAAGCAAACACCCTACCCATTGTGCTATTGCTCCAACCCAATCGCCAGTGTTTTTCCGTCGGTGGTTCCCTGAGCACCGTCAGGAGTGACTTGTGAATGCAGAGCCAGGAGTAAGCCTCTGCACAACTAGTTGTGATCCAAACACCACCCCCCACCAAAAAAACCAAACCAAACCAGGGAGTGCCAAGAGATAGTACATAGACACTTGTAATCATCAGTGGCAGTGGCCTTACTTAAAATTTTACCACACCACATGTGGTCATCTGAGCACCCTCAGTGTGGCCCAAAAACAAAAAAGAAAAATTCAGGGATGTCATACTCCTTGTGCAAAGATCTAAAGGTTAATGGCCCTCCTAAATGTACCAGAGAAAGGAGTGATCACACAAATACCTACAGGAAGATGCCTCCCTTACCATATATAAAGAAACTGATTATAGTTTTCTTTAGAGTAGTGTTACAACAAAAAGAATTTTGTTTTTTGGGTTACACCCTGCAGTGCTCAGGGTTTACTCCAGATTCTGTGCTCAGGAGTCACACCTGATAGTGTGCATGGGACTATATGAGCCCTGTGAGATTTGAGCACAGGAGTGCTGCTGCTAAACGTGACTTCATGCAAGACCTTAACCCTCTTCTACCTCTGACTCTAATATAGGACTTGAAAACATGAGTAGATTATCTTCTATAAAAAACTTTGCATTCTTCACTGATTAGGGATAGATTTATAATAATTATTTGGTGAAGCGGGTATTTGAGGAACACAGTTTTGCTCTGCGACAACTTATATTCATTTTAGTGAGGACATTGATCATAATTGAGGGGGCTCAGTTGTAGAATAAAATATCCCATTTATTTTGTAGATACTGTTCTTAAGAATTGTGCAAGAGAACTAGGAAACTGGAACACAGACCCCAAGATATTTATAGAACTGAGGAAAGTAGCCTTGAATTGTAAAATTTTTTTTTATTGAGACTCCATGGTGGTGGAAGCCATTTTTGAGTGACCTTCATTCTTACTGCAGGACTCTGGGAACATATCTATGAATAAGAGAAATAGGGGAGGAGGGAAGTTGCCAGAGGGGGAAATTTTTTAAGGTAGCTGGAACAGAAACCATGGCTTTAGGCATGTGCTTTGCTACCAAGCTACATCCCTACTCTTGAGAAAGGAAAAAAATTTTTTTTTCTTTGTGGGTCACACTCGGCAATGCACAGGATTTACTCCTGGCTCTGCACTCAGTAATTACTCCTGGCGGTGCTCAGAGGACCATATGGGATGCTGGGAATCGAACTCGGGTTGGCCTCATGCAAGGCAAACACCCTACCCGCTGTGCTATTGCTCCAGCCTAAGAAAGGAAAGTTTTTGTTTTTGTTTTTGGGCCACACACAGTGATGCGCAGGGCTTACTCCTGGCTCTGCATTCAGGAATCACTCTTGACCTTACATGAGATGACAAGGATTGAACCTAAATTAGCCATGTGCAAGGCCATCAAGGAAAGCTATAGGAAAGCTATCTCTCTGGTGCCGAGTCAGGAAGTTTTAAGTGAACCTTCATGAGGTCTAACTTATGGGCAAAGGGAATGAAATTGAAGCCATTGATATCTGTAAGAAAGTTTTCCCAACCCTCTCAGATTTTTCTTTGGATATTTTGGAGGTAGTGTCAGGTCCTCATGCTAGTGTCTGTGTGCAGGAATGGCACCTAGGGCAAAATCCAGCTGGTATATCCCTCAAAGAAAGTAAGGGCTTAGTTTTTGTATTATCATTTTTAAATGATTGGCTAAATCAAGGTTTCGTCACACGTGAAATTTATAGTTCAGAATATAATTTTATTAGAATTTAATGATATTCATTTACATATTGTTGAAACAGCTTTTTTGCTACAATGAGTGAGCTAATCAGTAGTGACAGACTGTATGATCTACAGAACCTAAAATTTCTGTGTAGTACCTTAATAGCAAAGATTTGCTGCTTCCTCTCAAAGCAGGCTACTGGGAAAAAAGTTCAATGGGAAAGAAGTCCTGTTCTGTCCTCCCGTTGTTCATCGATTTGCTCGAGCGGGCCCAGTAACGTCTCCATTGTGAGACTTCTTGTTACTGTGTTTGGCATATTGAATACTCTCGGTAGTTTGCCAGGCTCTCCAAGAGGGGCGGAGGAATCGAACCTGGCTCAACCAGGCTGGCTGTGCGCAAGGCAAATGGGAAAGAAAATAGAACATTTTTGGGAATACTTTATTTTGTTATTTTTCCCCTTTTTGGGGAAAATACTGTGAATGGTAGTTTCATACCCATTGTTCAGATTTTTTTTAAAAGAAAGAATGTCTTTTTTTTCTGATAAAAATAGTCTTAGCAGCAGAGACTTAGGAAATCATGTAATTCAAGTTGGAAATGTTAATTCTAGAGCTGATTTGAAACCTTTAGATTGGAGCACCTTAGAACTCAGATGGTGACACTATTTTCTATGTTGCTGGGCTTCAGGTAGTAGTAAGGAAGGTCAAGTTGCTCATTTCTGGCTACAATCTCCCTCTCCAGGTTTTCCAGATCTTTTTGAAATTGGGATAGTATAGCCTTGGACTTGGGGTTGGAGAAATACTTTTCTTTGTGATGCCCTAGAGGCACCTAAAAAGAGAAAAATAGGGATCATTCAGTTTCTGGACTGAAGGCAAAAGCATGTTGGGCCAGTCCCTCACTCCCATCATCCCCTCCCAATTGTCATTCCTTCAGAGTCCTCTCTTACCATATCTGGCTGACGGCGACCCAAATGCCATGTGATGGTCATTTGAAGACAGGCCTGTTGGACATCGGGTAGCGAGCCCATCACAGTGGCCATTGTTACGTCTTCCTTGGTGGTGGGTGGGGGCATTCGCATTGTGCATGGGGCATTAGGGACCCAGGAATACCAGTCCAGCTGGGGGAAGAGATTGTAATTCTAGGATTCTGATATTTAAAGTTTGAACCCCCAGCTCCCTTGAGCATCCTAAGGTCTAGACACTTGTTATTGGCAACTGGGTATTGGCTGTTCATACCTGTCCCTGGTTGATGGCCCCATGCTGGGCAGTACATGTGAAGACACACATAGTAAGGAAATGACAGAGTTGGTTCCGGGACTGGAAGGAGACAGGGAAACCTGGGCGAAAACAAAATTAGATTTAGAGGCTGCAGAATAAATTGACAGGTTTCTTTGTTCAGATATCTTTGTATGGGTTTCAATGCAGGCTCAAGCAGTACAGTTTGGTTACATTAGGTTCTTATTTAGTTCGTTGACCTTAGTTTCTACATCTGCTAAACATGGATGATACCTTCCTTACGAGAAACTATGTAGAAATTACCTGGGTATGTAACATCTAGTAACAAATATTAATTATTGTTAAAGAGGGAATCAGACTGAAAAGATTTGAGTGATCAAACAGACTCTATATCAAAAAGCGATGAAAAATTTAGAGTTGCTGCCTCCTTTTCCAAAAAAGGAAATTGTGTCAAAGCTATAAGAGAAGTCATGTATATCTAATGTCATGGTCAAGAGAAGCTTCCCATAAGGGTTATCTTAGACCACTCATTTATAGTGGAGGTTAGAGCTCAGAGGCCCAGTAATTGGGTCAGGTAAGAGGAGCAAATATAATTGCTCTCATTTTACAGATAA